ACTGAAAAAAACCTACATTATCATGTTGCTCCCTTGCTGGTTTAATGGATTAAAGCAGTCACAGAGCAACTCTTTCTCCCTGAGGCATTTGGGGCCAAAAGTAGGAGTGTGGATTGCTGCATATCATTCCAAAGCTTGGAAAACCTCCAGTGTGTGCAAGGAAGCCACCATCTCAAAGCACAGATACCAAAGCTACAAAAAAGCCCAGACATAGCTTAAGAACCATGGCCTGACAAAGAAATAACAATCCTCTTTTGGAGATAAATATTTTCTACTTCAGTCTCCAGAGTTCTTTTATACAAAATGTCTAGTATGTGTTAAACAGTATGTACAAAAGAAAGTGTGACCTGCAATGAAGAGAAATCAATAGAAGCAGCCCCAGAGACGACCTAGATCTAAGTCTTCATCTATATTGTTACCAGAAAGAAACTTTAATATAGTCACAATAAAAATGCTAAATTATCTAGTAGAGAAGGTGGACCATACATGTGAAGAGATGGTGGAATTTCAGTACACACATGGAAGTGTTTTTTTATTAAAACGATAACGATAAGGACAAAAACACAAGAGAAAACTACAGACTAATATCCCTAATGAATATAAACACAAAATCCTCAACAAAAAACTTAACAAACCAAATCCAACAGCACATTAAAAGGATTATACAGCATGACCCATTGAAATTTATCCCAGAAATGCAAAAAGTGATTCAACATATGAAAATAGGTTGATGTAATATATTCCACACTAACAGAATGAAGGAATAAAAACCACTTGGTCATCCCAGTTGGCACAAAAAAGGCATTTGACAAAATTTAACAATCTTTTATTAAAAACATTAACAACAAACACTCAACAAACTAGGAAAAGGGGGAAATCCTTAACACGATCAAGATCATTTATGAAAAGCCCACAGCTAACATCATACTTAATGGTGAAAGACTTGAAAGCTTTCTCTCTGGGATCAGCAACAAGATGACGATCCTCACTTGCACCATTGTTATTATGTATGCTGGAAGTCCTAGCCAGAGCAATTAGTCAATAAAAAGAAATAAAAGGCATCCAAATTAGAAAGGAAGAGATAAAACTGTATTCGCAGATGATTTGTTCCTGTACATAGAAAATTTCAAATAATCCACAGGAAAGCTACCAGAGGTAATAAATGAGTTTAGCTATGTTTCAAGGTGGAAGGTCAACATACACTTAACAGTTGTGTTTCTGTATATGCAAAGGATGAACAAACTGAAGAGGAAATTAAGAAATCAATACCATTTACAATAGCATCCAAAAGAATAAATAGTTAGGAATGAATTTATCCAAGGAGGTGTAACACTTGTATGCTGAAAACTGTAAAATATTGCTGGAATAAAAATAAATATAAAGTTATCCCATGTTCATGGACAGGAAGACCTAGCATTGTCAAGATACTAGTTCTCCCCAAAACATTCTAGATTCAAAGCCATAATTCCAACATCCTTTTTCACAGAATGGAAAAGCATATCCTCAAATTCGTAGGAATTGCAGGAGGCTTCTAATAGCCAAAATAATCCTGAAAAAGATTTAAACTAGGATTCAGTTTTTCTGATTTATAACTCACTACAAAGCTACAGTATTTAAAACAATATATGACACTGGCATAAAGGCAGACCAGTGACATAGAATAGAAAGCCCAGAAATAAGCCCTCACTTATCTATGGTCAGTTCATTTTTGATAAGGTGCCAAGACCATTCAGTGAGGGAAAGGCCAGTCTTTTCAACAGATGATCCTGGGAAAGTTGGGCATGCACCTGCTAAATAATGTAGTAGGACTCTTACCTTACATCATATACAAAAATTAATTCAAAATTGATCAAAAACCTTAACTGTAAGACCTAAAACTATAAAACTCTTAGGAGAAAACATTGAGGAAAATCTTCTTGACAGTGGGTTTGGCAGTGGTTTTATTAAGTATGATACCAAAGCACAGTAAGCAACAAAAGGGAAAGATAAATCGGACTCCATTGAAATTAAAACTTTTGTGCATTGAAGGACTCAACCAAGATAGTATTTGCAAATCATTTATCTGCAAGGGATTAATATTCACAACATATAAAGAACTATAACTCAACAACATTAAAACAAGTATACATACATGCCCATATATACTCTCAGAGAATGTTGAGTTTTTTATTTGTTTAAGCAGCCACTTAACTTGGTTGAAGTCAGTCTGTAAAACCTGTCTCCATGTGGTTTGTGGTAGCTCATAATCTCATTTCAGTTATTTTCTGTTATTGTAGCATTAGTTAGGCTGCTTGAGATCTGCTCTGTTCATAGATGATTCACAGGTCAGCCAAAGGATTAGGCAGTTTATATGTGTAATTCGGAGCTGCTCCTTTCTGACTGTCTCCTTTTTGGGATTTCCCTCTTTCCAGAGGCTATGGTTCTACATGCTTACCTCCATTCTTCAAGCCCTTTACACTGTAGATTTCTATGGGAGTTTCAGCCACTCTGTAATGGACTATGGTTTTCCCTCAGGTTAGAAGCCTTAAAAACAGGAAACACATCTTTTACTTTTCTCTTTTAAAATGTGTTGCTTTGCTTTCAGTGTCTGCTTACTTTGGGCTCTCTCCATGCTTTCAACTTAGTCTTTATGTTTATTCTAGTTTATAGTTGTTATCTGCATGATGATGGGTGAGATGGCTGCTGCTCCACCATCAGATTGGACATGGGAGTCTTCCTAAGTACTATTTGTATACTTCTGCAGGCTTTGTGTCCCTTTTCTTATGGTCACAGTTTTTACCTCCAGCCACCTTTTGGTCCTCACCCTTATCAATCCTGTATAGTCATTTCCCACCCCATACAGTCATCTTAACGTCAGCAGTAGTGAAGGGTACCATGGAAAGCCAAATAACCCAGCTTGTTAAGTCAGTTGAAATTTTAAGTTGGTAACATACAGAATAGGTTTCTTCAGACTCTTTCTACTAAAACAAACTGTCTCTGATTTAACAGCTTGTTCAAGGACATTCCCACATACCCAGGTCTTTAGATCTGGATGATTAATGTTGCTTGGAGTCCAGAATCAACATTTCTTCTGTGTTCTTCACAGCACTCTAAGGCTTTGTAAAAATTTTTGTTGATCTAGATATTTGTCAAGAAGAAAGAGAAAAACCAAAACCCCTTATCCTTTTGTAACATAGTCCAGCCTTTTATTTTTATTTTTTAAAAAACAATTTTTATTTTATTATCAAAATAATATTCACTGGGTTTCCTGTCAACTCTACTTATTTTTTTAAGTATAGCTGATACACAGTATTGTATTGGTTTCAGGTGTACAACATAGTGATCCAGCAGTTGGTGAGATGCTCACCGTGATAAGTGTAGTTAACAAAGATACTACGGTATTATTGACCATATTCCCTGTGTTGTACTTTCCATCTCCATGACTTGTTTATTTATTTATTTATTATTGTCTGATTAGTTTTTGATTTTTCTATGTGGTTTATTTGTTTGTTTATTAAGGTATCACTGATATACACTCTTTTGAAGGTTTTACGTGAAAAACATTGTGGTTACTACATTAACCCATGTTACCAAGACCCCCCATACTTTATTGAAGTCACTGTCCATCAGTGTAGTAAGATGCCACAGAGTCACTACTTGTCTTCTCTGTGCTACACTGTCTTTCCCGTGACCCTCCCACACCATGTGTACCAATGATAATACCCCTCAATCCCCTTCTCCCTCCCTCCCCATCCCTCCCCTTTGGTACCACTAGTACCTTCTTGGAGTTTGTGAGTCTGCTGCTGTTTTGTTCCTTCAGTTTTGCTTCGTTGTTATACTCCACAAATGAGGGAAATCATTTGGTACTTGACCATGACTTATTTATTTTATAATTGGAAGTTTGTACCTCTTTATCCCCCTCACCTATTTCATCCATCCCCTTAACCTCCCTTCCCTATGGCAACCACCAGTTTGTTCTCCATATTTATGAATCTGTTTCTGGTTTGTTTGTTCACCTGTTTTATTTTTTAGATTCCACATATAACTGAAGTCATGCAGTATTTGTCTTTGTCTGACTGATTTCACATAGCATAATACCCTGTAGGTCCATCCATGGCAAGATTGTTGCACATGGCAAGACTTCATTCTTTTTTATGACTAATTCTCCAATATACCATATCTTATTATCCATTCATTTAATCCATAGGCATTTAGGTTGCCTTTATATCTTGGCTGTTATAAATAATGCTGCAGTAAACATAGGGCGCATATGTCTTTTCAAATTAATGATTTTGTATTTTGGGGGGTAAGTTTCCCAGAAGTGGAATTACTGTGTCATATGGTAGTTCTGCTTTTAATTTTTCGAGAAATTTCCATACTGTTTTCCGTAGTGGCTGCACCAGTTTACATTCCCACACGCAATGAATGAGAGATTCCTTTTCTTCACATCCTCACCAACACTTGTTTATCGCTTGTCTTTTTGATATTGGCCATTCTGACTGGATTGAGGTATCTCACTATGGATTTGATTTGCATTTCCCTGATGATTAGTGATATTAAGAATCTTTTCATGTGTCTTCTGGCCATCTGTGTCTTCTTTGGAAAAATGTCTATTGAGATCTTTGCCTATTTTTAATCAGGTTATGTGTTTTTTTGGTGTTGAGGTGTATGAATTCTTTATGTATTTTGGATATTAACCTTTTGTGGATATACCATTTGCAAATATCTTCTCCCATTCAGTGGTTTGCTTTTTTGTTTTGTTTATGGTTTCTTTTGATGTGCAGAAGCTCTTGAATTTGATATAATACCCTTGTTTATTTTCCAGCATTTTATTTTTAAACTATTCCTGAAGTCTGGAAGGGTGTTCACTTCTTAACTTTTTCTATTGTTATCTTTTTTGAAGTAACATTTTATGTGTCAATAATATGTGATACAGGTATAATAAACCCATTTGTTGTCAACTTATTGTAATATGCATGGATAATGAATTGTATTTTTCTGTGTTTGTTCTTCCTAATCAGCTCCTGGGCTATAGTGAAAAGCCGATAAATCTACAGATGTTTATTGGAACGGCAGATGATAGATATTTACGACCTCATGCATTTTATCAGGTGCATCGAATCACTGGGAAAACAGTTGCTACTGCAAGCCAAGAGATAATAATTGCTAGTACAAAAGTTTTGGAAATTCCACTTCTTCCTGAAAACAATATGTCAGCCAGGTATTTTCAAACATACCTCAAAATGGGCAGTTCTTTCTTTTCCTGAAACAACTTTTGGAAAAAACATATATTACTTTTATGGTACAGAAGTGAAGGATTCATTGTTCTAAATTAACTGAATAACATTATGTGAATAATTGTAGTACATCTGCTAAGGTTGTTAGCATATTTTCAGAAAGAAAATTAAGTTCCGCAAAACTGTACGGACCATGTAGTACCAGCCCACCATCATGCTAAGTGATGTAGATAAAAGTATGTGGAATTTTCTTCAAATAGCTCACAGTCTGATGAGTAGACAATAAATAAGTAGTTGAAGTACAATTAAGATTACTAAGTTTCCTTAAGGAAAACTTTGGCTCTACTTCCAGGTGTCCCGTCTGACACATTTTCAAATGAAATGAGGTGGCTAGCTTCTGAATGAAAATATGATAGAGTTTTGTTCCAGTGGATTAGTTAGGATTATATGTAGTTGCCTGTTATGGAAACCTGAAATGCAGTAGCTTAAACAGTTTTTTTTAATTCCATAAAAGAATATCCAGATAGACATTTTAGGGCTAACATAGTATTTCCATTAAGTCATTGGGGCCCCAAGGTCCTTCTTTTTTTTAATTCTCTGCTATATTTAGCATGTAGTTTCCATCCTCAAACTTGCTTCATGATCTAAAATGGGTGCTGGATCTCTAGCCATCACAATTACAATCCCAGAAAGAATAAGGAAGAAGGGGTGGGAAGAAGGGTAAAAGAGAACTTCCATCTGAGTCAATGCTTTTTAAAGAGCTTATCCCAGAAACCTACACAACATATTCATTGATTATCCTTGTATATAAGGAAGACCTGGGTATATTTTTAACCTGAATATGTTGCTTCCTTTAACTATATAGGGACTTATTAACTAAGAAAAAAGGGAACAAAAGATGTTTATTAGATATTATTAATCTGCCATAACCAGGTATGTGAAATTTATAGTGAAGTTTGTTATAGAAATTACATCAAACTACAATATATACCTTTCTTAAAATGACATTAACATCTGTCCCAGGCTGTTGCAAGAACAGTACTAAATCATATTCAGGATTTAATCAAAAATCAGATTTCAGTCTCTAGCTCTCTTCTTTTAAATTTACATTTAAATGACTTAGGTAAACTAGAATATGCACCTGAGGCTATAGCAATTTATGACATAATTCTATTATTACAAAATAAAAGTTACCTCAGAAAGAAACTTAACCCTGTTATCTACTTATTGTCAGAAAAAAACAAGTAAATATAAATTGAAACAAAACTTTATTTTTGCCTACTTTGTTCAGATAGACAGTATGCAAGAACCCAACCCAGTAAGTCATTACATAGGGGCTGTGACAGTACTTTCATGGCAAAGACATACAGTTAGCTGATAATCTCTACTCTTAGATTTCTGTATTCAGTGATGTAGAGAGAACTTTGGAGTCATAGCTAGTGCTTATTCAGGCAATTGGACAAAACTCTTTCTTAAGGAAAATGTTGACTCTGACTCCAGGCATCCTGTTTGACCTATTTTCAAATAAGGTGAGGAGACCAACCTCTGAATGAGAATGCATATGTATAGACTTCTTTCCTTTTACTCTAGGCTGTTACTTTTTCATCTAGCATCAGAAACATATGAACACATGATTCATCAGCTATCGAGGGGAATTAAAAACTCAACTTTGAACTTTCCTTCTTTAGATAATTTATAAAATTGATCCCTAGAGGACAGTTTGTGGGCTGTGTTTCCATTCATTCTGTTCACTAGACTTGAACCAAGTTAAATAGAAAATCAAAAGAAGCTTATTGTGCTGTTTAACTTTCTTTGCTTGAAGGAAATAGCCATATGAGTACCTCTTCATAATCTGAAAAACCACTGTTAAAGATACTATCTCTGAGTTGCTCATTAACACACACATAGACACAGTTCTTTCAAGTTAATGGAAAAAAATTTGGTATTTTCTGATGACATGGTAGATTTTGCTTTACCAGACAAAGAGAGACCTGTAAAAACTTTATCACATTTACTTTTTGCTTTGGCTTCCGGGAAGTTCATAGTCGAGTTCAAATACAGTAATTATCGTAATTTGTAACCCTAGATTTAGGATATATTTATTTCCTGTTCTTTCTATTAAAGAATTTCTTCTATTTCTTCTTGACCTTATTTGTATTTATGTTGTAAAGTGCCTCATCCCTTCTAAAAATAGTGTATAAATCAATAAATTTAAAAAGAATACATGAGTTTCTAAGATTCTCAAGAAATTCAGCAAGCCTCATATTGAATAGTGTGAAAAAATCAGACTAGTAGGATCTAAACATATCTACCTCCTCCTTTTCGCATCTACTAGCACATAGAACAGAAGTGGTGGTCATCATAATTCATGTCCCTTCCCCAACCAGACCTGGCACATACTGCCTGCCTAGATCAGATCAGAGATGACAAAACTGCAGAAATACCACTGTTACTAGTAACAAGCAGCTAGCCCCCTTACTCTATCCCCAGATACATAACCTGAAGCTTCTCTGGACATTCTTTCTACTCTGGACTGTTAGATTAGGGAATAGAATTTTTTTAGGAGCCAAAGCTCAATGCAACACTGTGTGTGTCCAAGAAAGGGTTGAAAAAGGAGCATCTAGGAAATTACCCAAAGCTAAGAAACCTCTTCCATGTACCTTAGATAACAATGGCAAGGTAAAACTGAATGAGCCTTTTTTTTTACTGGCAACTAATTACTAGGATAAACTACAGTTATTCAGTGTTACATAGTTTCAGATAGTGGTAGATAAAAAATTTGTGAATGATTGATAAGACTTGTTCAAAATGATTTATGTATAAACTAGTTGTAGAGATGTATTAAATTAAATAGCTTTACTGATCTCTGAAAGCACTAAGGTGGGGAAAGATTAGTATATACTGCTCTTGTTTTGCCTATTATCCCACAGGCTTGGTCATTTCAGTTCTAATTTATCTTGGATATATAAGACCATTAAGACCAGTATACTAACCCCAAAAGCCATAACCTTACAAGATACTTTAAATATAGAATGTCAGTATTCATTGCTTTAAGCTACTCATAACTCCTTCCTGTTTTTAAAACTAAGTTTTAAATGGAATATGGATGTGCCAATAATACAGCCTGATCTAAAATACAGTTGTAGTTGTAAACAGAATTAAAATTATTTTCATTCCTATATGTGTAGTTTTTGTGTTGGCTTAGCTTTTTTCTTTTTTGTATTTCTTACCCAGTTGTAAAATTGTCATTTCTGATACTCCTGTTACATACTATTAGAAACTTAGCTCTGCTAAAATACCTTCCCTCAAAACTCAATGAAATGGATAATCTCCCTAAAGACTCGTGTTGGCATGCTAACATGAATTATTCACTCCTTGATACAGTTTGGTCTACATACTGCTTTGAGGTAAAATGTAATTTTTCAAGATCAGTTTGAATATAATTTATTATCCATAAATTTCAAATACTTATTTTTCAAAAGTAGTTCCTTTTTTAGAAATTTCTTCTTCTGTGTCTTTCTGAAGATGAAAATATTCATCCTTTTGGGATTCTTCCCTGTGCTTTACCAGTTCTTATGTTGATAACCAACTTCTGTAAGATATAGTATCCTTCAAGTGACTTACACATCTTGGGGACAATGAGCGTTAAGAGTAGGAGCTACTGGTAGATAAAGTAAAAGGATGGATAACAAACATTGCCATAAGAGACAGTAAACTTTAACTAGAATGTTTGATGATTAGTTATCTACTTTATTCTTATTAGAAGAATATTTGTGAATAACAAAGATACATTGTAGATACTGTTGTTTCCTACCATGATTGTGTATTAAGCAGCAATATTTAGTGATAAAATTTGAAGATAATGAAATGTTAGACCTTAAATGCCAAAACTTTAATCTTACACAGACATTTTCAAGGAATGCAAGAGTCATAGCCTGATGGATTGTTTTTATTAATAAACATCACTATAAAAGTCTAAATATGCTATTAATGACTTATTTGTAGTACAAGAGAATGCTTTCTGGCCTAGTTACACCTGTAGAATTAAACACTCTTTTTACTTTATGTTTCACTTACCTAGTTCTGTCACACAAATTACCCCCAAAATTTTGTGGCTTAAAGTAATAACTGTTGGTATGTTTCATGATTCTTTGGATTGGCTGAACTCAGCTGATCCATTCATGTGGTGCTGGCTGGGAACAATCATGCTCTTGAATTGAGCTGGGGGTTCAGCTGGCTTGAGAACATCCAAGATGGCTGGAGTGGCTGGAACAGTTGAGGATTGTCTGGGCCTTTTTCTCCAGCTTGTTAGTTGGACTTCTTCAGACTGGCTATGACTACAAGAGAGGAAAAGTGGATAATATGAGACTGTTTAAGTACTAGGCTCCTAGCTTAGAGTATTAACTGGTCACATTCTGTTTGTCAAAGCAAGACTTAAGGAGGCAGTACATAGGTACTCCACCTCTTAATGGGAGAAGTACTGGAATGAGGAGGAATACAGCTATATTTACAGACAATCTCCCACACTTACTATTATAGTTTTGTCATGTAAAAATATTTTTAATCCAAAAATTGAAATAGCAGAAAATAGCAACCATACATACCTTTTTTTAAAAATCATATTTTAGATAGTGATAGTTCATTCCTGCTAAATTAACAATTGCTGTTTTGAGTGAGTTGTTTAGAACCACTAATTATCAGTAAGCAAATAAAATTTTTGTGTTTTTTCTCCCTAGTATTGACTGTGCAGGTATTTTGAAACTCCGCAATTCAGATATAGAACTTCGAAAAGGAGAAACTGATATTGGCAGAAAGAATACTAGAGTACGACTTGTATTTCGCGTACACATCCCACAGCCCAATGGAAAAGTTCTTTCTCTGCAGACAGCTTCTATACCTGTAGAGTGCTGTAAGTAAACTTGCGATGATGTTATAAAATTTTATTTGTAATAGATCATTTTCAGTTTTGCTTATAATCTAATGTTTGGATCAAAAATGTAAACTGAGGCACAGAATCTGGGCAACTGATGTGATTTTCTCATATGGAAATAAGTAAGCTACTTGCTTAGGTGGAAGGAGTACTAATCTTAGAGTTAGAAAATGGCTTCTCATTACAATTTGACCCTAGTTAGCGGTATAACTGTAGACAAATTCTCTCAACCACAGTTTTCTTACCTGTAAATGAGGAAAGTAGGTTTGAGGCCACCTGAGGAACAAATGAAGCTATTATTGTGATATTAAGTGTCACTTGGTCATCTTTGTTTAATTAAAATATCAGTCTTCGTGTTGGAAGATTCCTGTCTCTGTGAGCTGACACCTCAGCTAAATAAGGACTTAGGGTTTTGTGGGTTTTTGGTTTTTCCCTATAAATTTATTTACATCATCAGACTGAGAAAAGTGAATTGCTTTTTCCCCTGGTTTACAAAGGCAAGAAATGAGAAAAGGCCCTAGAGCCCGATACCTACTCAATCCCTGGAGAACTGTAGACCTCTGGTAGGTTAGCTGGTAGGACTAAAATATTGAGACTGCTGTTTAGATCCTTAGGGCTTAGACTTAGAAGTGTTCTAATTGCATATCTTACTCTTGTGTAGGAGGAAACTGAGGCACAAGTTTCTAAACCCTCATCCAGTGTTATTCGCTATTGTCAATAGACTGTTCAGAACACAGGTTTCCTTAGTATTTTTATTACATTATACCATTTTATTTAAATACATGCATTTTTTTCTTAATTGAAGTATAGTTTATTATATTGATTTCAGGTGTACAGCATAGAAACACATGCATTCTTAATTTGGGATCACTCCTACTGTATTACCCTTCTGTCCCTCCTTTTGCTGTTTGCTGAATTGGAGAAGTACTTTATCATTTCCCAGTTGACTGGGATTCAACTGAGTAAATCCATAATAATAGAATTCACTGTAGAATTAATTTTTGATAGATAATACAGTTACATGGTACAAAATTCAAAAAGGATAAAGGAGTATAGGAAAAGCGAATTTCCAGGTCAACTGGTTCCCCTTTGTAGAATCAGCTATCATTGCCAGCATCTTTTATTATCCTGCCAGAGTATTCAGTGTCCATATAAGCATATATGTCTTTATTTTTAGCATAAAGTAGTTTCATAGTTTCAGTTTTTGAGATGAAATTACTCTAAAATGATTTTCTCTTTTTTCTTTTAGTTTATTAAAATAACGTGATTATTGTTGAGAATATAAAAAATGCAGAGTGGTACAAAGAGTAGTATTAAAATGTTTTGTAATATCACTACACTTGAGATAGTCACTGTTAACCTTTTTTTGAATTTTCTTTTTCTTTTTTTGTGTATATATATTATATATATATATAATATGTATATATTTTTTGTGTATAATATTTTTTAGTTGGGCTTACCTGATACAGTTTTGTTTTCGTATTTTCACTTATAAGGGGCATTTTCTCATATTGTTAAATAGTCTTCAAAAATAGTATTTTTAACTCATGCATGATATTATATTATGACTATGCCATTTGGTGAACACATTTTTGCTGTTACTTTGAGTGTATCTGTAATGGCTAGTTTCCACCATAAATATCTAAAATTTGAGTTAGTCTACTCCCTGGACTAGTCAGTGCTTGGTTTCACGCCCCTTCACTGTGAGCCATTTGGAACATAAGTAGGGACATAGTATTTTCTGAGATCTAGGTTGGTTCTCTGTTTCCCAGGTGGTAGTTGATCCTAAATCTCAGACCCATCCCCTGTGAAAGAGTCTATTTTAACATTCTCTTTGAGGTAATGATTTCAATCCACTTTTGTGGCTTGGTATCAAATAACTGGGAGAGAGGAGCCATAGTGAATGGAGAGTGCTTGCTTCCTAAAGGTATGCAAGTTTAAATTTCTTTAAAATGTTGTTATTGGCTGAACAAAACTCAGCTGACCTTTAAAGCCACCAATTTTCCACCCACGTAGTAGGACTAAAAGTAGACCTGTTTTCCAAATGTGAAGAAGAGAGTGTAATCTATACATTTTTGTTTTAATCTGGAGAGAAACCTAGTTATCTAGGTATTTGGCAAGATGAAACCCTTAGACAATCTGAGCAATCAAAAGAAGTATAATCTGTAGCTTGAAGCTCAAGCAGTTAAAAAAAAGAAGAAAAGCCAGAAATAGGATCTCCAGAAAATATAGCAGCTTGGAATCAGTCAATATTAGAGGAAAGTGGCACCAAGTCACTGTTTATGAAAGTTGATAATTTAAAAAATGTCTCTTAAGGCAGTAAGATAAATTATGTTCATATATCCTAGAAAGGAAAAGTGCAGTGCACTATTGAAAGACATATAGATCCATTTTTAAAAATTCAGTATTAAAATGTGATGATCTAGATACTATCTTGAAAAAAGGGCTACTTGGTGTGTGTCCTTTAGAAATTTGTCTTTTTATTGTATGCAATATAATTATACATCTTTAGATTTAATTTGCTTTTTATAATTATATCAGATTTATCAATTTTACAGTTGTAGGGAAGAAGTATATTAAGACTTAAGCTAAAAAGAAAAAAGTAGATGAGGTTAATGTTTTTGACTCAATATGAAGTTGCAGGCACTAATTTCTCTTTATTAATTGAGTTTGTTACAGTTGTAGTCTAAGAAAATAATGTAAAAATCACATAAATCTAATCTACTTTATTTCCTAAGTAATACAGTTATTTTAGTGGATATTGTCACCATTGCCTTGAATTTTAAAAGCCCAGAGTTTGCTTCTCTTTATTTTCATTTTGTAGCTTGATTTGTCATTTATATATGAAAGATTGTAAACTAATATTTTCTTTCTTCTCAACTCTAAAAAACAAAACAAAACAAAACAGCCCAGCGGTCTGCTCAAGAACTTCCTCATATTGAGAAGTATAGTATCAACAGTTGTTCTGTAAATGGAGGTCATGAAATGATTGTGACTGGATCTAATTTTCTTCCAGAATCCAAAATCATTTTTCTTGAAAAAGGACAAGGTAAATAATACAAGATTTGAGTTGATTGACCTCAAACTAATGGACAAAAGGTTGAAGTGAATTACTCAGATGTTTCACTGACATTAATAACAGAATGGCTTTCCTATAGCTACAAGCATCATTTACACAGATTTAATTTTATTGTAAACCAAACATTTATTATGTTTTCATATAAATGTTAAGTTCTCATTCAAGATGCCTCAAAAGTAGAAGAATCCCCCAGTAGTTCTAACCCTATGGGTGTGTGTGTGTGTGTGTGTTATTTATATACTCAAGAGAATTAAAAACATATGTCACACAGAAACATGGATACAAATTATTATAGCAGTATTATTCATAAAAGCCAAAAAATGGAAGCAACCCAAATGTTCATCAGTTGTAAATGAATAAACAAAATGTGGAATATTCACACTGTGGGATATTATTCAGCCATAAAAAAGATTAAAGTACTGATTGATTCTCTAACATGGATGAACCTTGAAAATACTGTGCTAAGTGAAAGAAGCCAGCATAAAATGTCCAGAATCAATAATCCATATAGACTGAAACTATATTAGTGATTGTCAGGGGATGGAAGGAGGTGTCAATGGGGAGTAACTGCTGAAGGGCGTGGGGTTTCTAGTATTAGATAGTGATGGTTATACAGCTCTGTTAATATACCAAAGACCTCAAAATTGTATAGTTTAAAAGGGTGAATTTTCTATATAATTAGGATTTTGTGTCTTAATTTTTACAAAAGTAGGAGAATCCTGTGTCTAGCAGAGTGTTTGATTTTAGCCTTTCTTGGGCATATTTAAAAAATTTTTCCATCAAATGCTTCCTCTGATAATAAGAATTGTGAATTACCATTCTTAAAAGAATAACACAATGAATACTCATACCTACTGCCCAGCTTATGAATTAGGACCTTTACTTTTGAAGGCCTCTTGGTGCTCCTTCCCAAATGAATCCCTCTCCTGAGTCAATTCTTGCTTTTCTTTCTAGTTTTATTTTGTATGTTTTTCCCTGTTTTTGGACTTTATATAATGCATGTATTCTTCAGAAAATTGCTTTTCTCAGAGGTCAGTGTTAATGTTTAAAAATTGATCCATGTAACAAGATCTTTCACTTTTGCTACTACATAGTTCACTGTATGAATGTGCTAAAATTTATTATCCATTCTCTGGGTGATTGGGCAGTGTCCAGTTTTTGACAGTGCCAAACAACAGCTAACAATGCTGCTATGAACATTCTACTTAACACCTTGTGGACATAGATAAGAATGTCATAACTCTTAAAAGTTTTGTTAATCCAGTAAGTGTAAAAGTTGAACTTTGTGTCTTAATTTTATTGTACTTGAACTTTGAGTTTGAATCTCCCTTATGCCTACTGAGGTTGTTATGGGCCATTCATGTTTCCTTTTTTGTGAATACTTGTGCATGTCTCTGCCTATTTTTTTTCCATTGAGTCAATTTTCATATTCTTACCATCTTACAGGATTCTTTTTATATTCTGGATATCAGCGCAAATTGGGGAAGTGCCCCATTTTTTTCCACTCTCAAAAAGTGTGTGTTTCTTGTAGCTTCTTCACCTTCCTTTGCACATGTGGCAGAGCTCACCCCTGAAACCTTCGGTTGAGGCTGTCTTTGTGGGGAACTATTAATTTCTGAATAGAAGAACACATTTCTCTTGTTTTCTCCTTTTCTCTCACAATAAATACTACCACATTCACAACACTCCTGACACCCAGATATGTCAGTATCCCATATATTAAGCAATTTGTAGACACCAGTAGGTGTCCCCAAGTCAATTTAATTCAGTTCTGACACTAACTGGAATAGCACAAACTCCACAAGTTAAGGGCTTGGTCTTATAAGACTGTCCCCTACTTCAAATGCCAGTTGAAAGTAATAGGTCCCCAGGTTTCCCACAACTTGGCTACAAATCAGAGGTTCCTTCTTGGATTTGATCATTTGGTAGTATAGTTCATAGAACTCAGAGAAACACTTATTTACATTTACCAATTTATTATAAAATGAAGGATATCATAAAGGATACAGATGAGCATCCAGATGGAAGATATACATGGAGTAAGGTATGTGGGAAAGGTCATGGAACTTCTGTGCCCTCTCAGGCATGTCGTCCTCCCAGCACCTCCGTGTGTTCAGCTGCCCAGAAACTCCCCAAATTCCATAGTATTGTAAAATTTTTTTATTAAGGTATCATTGATATACAATCTTATGCTCAAGTTTCACATGAGCAACATTGTGGTTACTACATTCCACCCTATTATCAAGTCCCCACCACAAGCCCCATTACAGTCACTGTCCATCAGCATAGTAAGATGCTATAGAGTCACTACTTGTCTTCTCTGTGCTATACTGCCTTCCCCGTGCTCCCCCCCATACTATGTGTGCTAATCATATTAAATCCCCTTATCCCTCCCTTCCCCCCCACCCTCCCCAACCCCTTTCCCTTTGATAACTGCTAGTTCATTCTTGGGTTCTGTGAGTCTGCTGCTGTTTTGTTCCTTCAGTTTTTGCTTTGTTGTTACACTCCACAGATGAGTGAAATCATTTGGTACTTGTCTTTCCCTGCCTGGCTTATTTCACTGGGCATAATACCCTCTAGCTCCATCCATAGTATTCTACTTTTTATGGCGGCTTCATTACATAGGCATGATTGACTATTCCATTTCCAGCCCTCCCCTCTCTGGAGTATGGGCATGGGGCTGAAAGTTCCAAGCTTCAAGTATGGATTGGTCTTTCTAGTGACAAGCCTCCATTCAGGAGCCCACATAGAGTCATCTCCCTAGAACAAAAGGCACTCTTACCACCTAGGAAATTCCAAGGGATTTAGGACCTCCATGTCAGGAACCAGGGTCAGAGACCAAATACAAGAATGAAAGATGCTTCTAGCGCTCTTAACACTTAGAAGGGAATTACAAAAGTTTTAGGAGCTCTATACCAGGAACTGGAGGTGGAGACCCAATATATATTATTGTCTATTATTTCACACCAGGATTTTATTTATTTCACCTAAATAAGTTTTCAAATTTATTGTTATTAATCTGGTCATAATATTCTCTTTCTGCATGTGAAATTATACCCCCTATAAAAATTTATTCTATTTGTGCCTTCTCTGTTCTTTTAATGTTTTTCCAGAGTACTTGGCTTTATTGATCCTTTCAATTGTCTTTGTTTTCTGTTTCTTTAATTTCTGTATTTTTCCTTCTCAGTTTTTTTTGACTTAATGTTCTTTTTCTTAAGTGCTTATCTCATTCATTTTTCATTCTTTCACCTTTCTTAAACTTAAGTATTTAAAGCTATGCATTTCCCCCATCACCTGTCTCTCGTAATTTCAGTATCTCTTTCTCCACTGAATCTTTTTTCTTGGAGTTTGAATATGTTCAAATCTTTTCATTCTAAACACTCACTTTCCCTTGACTCTGTCATCCTCATAAGCTATCATTTCATTTCTCTTTCCCTTATTCAACCTCTCAAAAAAATAACCTCATCTACCTTCATTGCCTTACCTACTTCTTACTCTTTGATCTTTTGTCTTTTGCTATATTGAAATCATAGCCTCCTAAAAATGTATTTGACAGCTATCCACTCTGTTTCTTGAAACCCTTTTCTTTGTTGGCTTTTGTATAATTGTGTCTATCTGGTTCTCAGCACATCTTTAAGTATTCCCACTCATCTTTTTATTTTATTGTATTTTTTAATTAATTAATTGATTAATTTTGTTGTCATTAATCTACAATTACATGAAGAATATTATGTTTACTAGGGCCCCCCATTCACCAAGTCCCCCCCCCACAAACCCCATTACCGTCACTGTACATCAGTGTAGTAAGATGCTGTAGAATCACTACTTGTCTTTGTGTTGCACAGCCCTCCCCATGCCCCACCCCCACATTATACATGCTAATCGTAATGCCCCCTTTCTTTTTCCCCACCCTTATCCCTCCCTTTCCTCCCTTTCTCCCCAGTCCTTTCCCTTTGGTAACTAACTGTTAGTCCATTCTTAGGTTCTATGATTCTGCTGCTGTTTTATTCCTTCAGTCTTTCTTTGTTCCTATAGTCTTTGGGTTTGAGGTGAGTCTCTTGTAAGCAGCATAGAGATGGGTTTTGCTTTTTTATCCAGTCTATTATTGTGTGTCTTTTGATTGGTGCATTCAGTCCATTTACATTTAGGGTGATTATTGAAAGATATGTACTTATTGCCATTGCAGGCTTTAGATTCGTGGTTGCCAAAGGTTCAAGGTTAGCTTCTTTAGTATCTTACTGCCTAACTTAGTTCGCTTATTGAGCTATTTTAAACACTGTCTGGTCATTCTTTATTTTTCTCCCTTCTTATTCCTCCTCCCCCTTTCTTTATATGTTGGTTGTTTTATTCTGTGCTCTTTTGTGCTTGCTGTAACTGCTTTTGTCTATAGTTGATTTTATTTTTTTTGCCTTTAATTAATATTTGTTTGGTCTGCTTCTTTGCTGTGATTTTATTTTCTCTGGTGACATCTATTTAGTCTTAGGAGTACTTCCATCTAGAGCAGTCCCTCTAAAATACCCTGTAGAGGTGGTTTGTGGGAGGCAAATTCCCTCAACTTTCGCTTGTCTGGGAATTGTTTAATCCCTCCTTCATATTTAAATGATAGTCATGCTGGATACAGTATTCTTGGTTCAAGGCCCTTCTGTTTCATTGCATTAAATATATCATGCCATTCTCTTCTGGCCTGTATTGTTTCTGTTGAGAAGTCTGATGATAGCCTGATGGGTTTTCCTTTGTAGGTGACCTTTTTCCTCTCTCTAGCTGCCTTTAAAACTCTGTCCTTGTCCTTGATCTTTGCCATTTTGATTATTATGTGTCTTGGTGTTGTCCTCCTTGGGTCCTTTCTGTTGGGAGTTCTGTACACTTCCATGGTCTGATGGATTATTTCCTCCCCCAGTTTGGGGAAGTTTTCAGCAATTATTTCTTCAAATACACTTTCTATTCCTTTCTCTCTCTTTTTCTTCTTCTGGTACCCCTATAATGCAGATATTGTTCCTTTTGGATTGGTCACACAGTTCTCTTAATATTGTTTCATTCCTGGAGATCCTTTTATCTCTCTCTGCATCAGCTTCTGTGCATTCCTGTTCTCTGGTTTCTATTCCATAAATGGCCTCTTGCATCTTATTCATTCTGCTTATAAATCCTTCCAGAGATTGTTTCATTTCTGTAATGTCCTTCCGGACATCATCCCTTAGCTCTTGCATATTTCTCTGCAGCTCCATCATCATGGTTATGAGCTTTATTTTTAATTTTTTTCAGGAAGACTGGTTAGGTCTATCTCCTTCTCAGGGTTTGCCTCTGTGATCTTGGTCTGTATCAATTTCTTCTGCCTTTTCATGGCAATGGATATATTTGTGGGGAGCTGGTGTGTGTGTTGGGTAAGAGAAAGTCCCTTCTTGCCAGTCTGTGGCCTTCCTCTCCTGGGAGAACAGCGGCCTCTCGCGGCTTGTGCTGGGCAGCTGTGTGCAGACAGGGCTTCTGATCTTGCCCGGCCGCAATGGAGTTTAGCGTTGCAGTTGCTGTGGGCGTGACCTGCCTCAGGCTGCTTCTCCAGTATGGCAGAGCTGCATTGGAGTGGGAAGAGGCAGGAGAGGAGGCTGTTTATCACGCTGAGGGGCCTCCACACTGCGCTGCGGGGGTTCGGGTGCCCAGAGTTCCCCATGATTCCCAGCTGCTGGGCTAAGTGTCCTCGGGCACTTCCGTCCAGTTGTGGGGTCCCTGTCCCTTTAAGACTTTCAGAAAGCACTCACTTTTCTTTGTCCCGGGTGCCCCGGCTGCAGGGACCCGCTCACAGGTCTTATTGTCCTGTTTCCCTAGTTTCCAGCACCCCACGCACACACTGTGTGTCTGCGCTCTGATGCGGATGGCTGGGGCTGGGTGTTCAGCGGTCCTGGGCTCCCTCTCCCTCCCTGCTCCGACTCCTCTCCTCCCGCCGGGAGCTGGGGTGAGGGGCGCTCGGGTCCCGCCGGGCTGCGGCTTGTATCTTAACCCCTTCGCGAGGTGCTGGGTTCTCGCAGGTGTAGATGTAGTCTGGCTGTTGTCCTGTATCTTCTGGTCTCTCTTTTAGGATTAGTTGTATTTGTTGTATTTTCAAAAATATATGTGGTTTTGGGAGGAGATTTCCACTGCTCTACTCATGCCGCCATCTTGGTTCTCCCCCACTCATCTTTTTTTATCAGTCTTTCTGGCCCAGTGTTTCCCAAGGCTCTATATTCAACTTTCTTGTCATTATATTCCTTTATTCTGGGAAATTTCATCAGCTACCAAATCTCTATCTATATAGCCACATACTTTCTCCTAAACTTCTAACATTCGCTTTAAAGTATCCACTGAATATTACTGCATAAATGTTCCACTGATACTTAAAATGTGAAAACATATCAGACTTCTCAAACCAGCACATCTTATTGGGATCCCCAACAATTGATTAATAATGTCAGGGCCTACTTCTTGGACTGGAAACCATGTTTCCATGTGTCTGTGGTCTTCTCCCTTAAATTCACTTCCTTCCACCCCCTCCCCTTCAACCCTGATCAATAACTGCTTGTCTTCAAGAAAACATCAGTTCCCTTTGACAGTTTATTAATTCATCAATTATTTATGAAGCAAATGCTATGTAATAGACACTAGTCTAGGCATTGGGTTTATAATGGTGAATAAAATGTTCAGGTTGCCTGCTTTTTTTTTCTTAATGTAGTTTTTTTTTTTTGGTATCATTAATCTACAATTACATGAGCAACATTATGGTTACTAGACTCCCCCCATTATCAAGTTGCTTTTTTTTTTAACAAGCAAACAGTAGTAATTAAGCAAAGTACACACTCAGGGAGGGAGTGTGGACCTGCTCCAGGGGGGAGCAGCATGATGCAGGGGTTTGGTTGGGTGGTCATATAGCTAGAGTTTAAGCAAAGGTGAAATATTCATCGGGTTAGGTGGGGTTCTTCACCCTAGGGCAGGAGGATTTTTTTTTCACCCTAGGGAGAGGATTTCTGGGACCCTAGGGTGATGCCCTCTTTTTGTCCTTAGATGGTCTTCCTTGGAAGTGTCATAGTGCCAAGGGGTGTGATTTTTCTTACACTAACAAGCATATAATGTACTTTGAAGTGAGGTCAGGGTCTACTTTTCCATGTTGGAACTAGTCAGTTTTGGCAGGTCTGGTATCTATACCCTTCCTCCCCACATCCCAAGAGAACAGTTTGCATAGATCATTTAGAGTATAAACAAGCATCTAACTGAATGTGAACACTGGCCAAAGTCCCCAATCCCCTCCTTGCTTATTGTCTGGCTATCCACCTACTATAACATTTCCCCCCTCAAGGAATGTGGACCCTTGAAATCTTTCAAGGGAAAATGGGTATTAGTTATACTTCTGTGGCTGCTTTCTGCTGAGGAGGGATGTTGACCCTGTCTATGGGTCCATCAGTTCCTTGCTGTCAGGGAGAGGAGGGGTCATGGAGTTGTCTCAGCAGTGGCAGAGATGGACAAGGGCATATAAAAGGAGGATGCAGCTAGGCTGCGGTATTGCTCAGGTTGCCTTCTTTAATAGACCTTATACTCTAGCGGGGGAGCAGACCATGAACATAGAAATAAATAAATGAACAAGATAATCCCAGATAAAAGTGCTTATGAAGAGGGTAGAGTGGTAATGAATGAACAGTAAACTATTTTTATTAAATGGTCAAGGAATGTCTGTCTGCAGAGGTTATATTTTATGAGAAATAAGAAGTATAAGGAAGAAATAGCATCTCAAAACTACCCTTTTCCACTGTAAAAATTAATTTGTGTCTGAATATAATAAGTGTGTATGTATAGAGCAGTTTCATGATAGAATTCATTTTATTTCACACAGAGCTTGACTTTCTTTTTTTAATTAAGGTATGATTGATATACACTCTTACGAAGGTTTACGTAAAAAAACAATGTGGTTACTACATTTACCCATATTGTCAAGTCCCCACCCGTACCCAAATGTAGTCACTGTCCATCAGTGTAGTAAGATCACAGAGCTTGACTTTTAAGAGCTTTGATTGAAATTAAATCATGTTAAATGGTAGCAGTTACTCGTTTCAGATGAGATTGCAGTTGTAAACTTGAAACTCCCATTCTGAAAGCTCCGTCAGTGATCCCTTCAGTTTTCAGGCTCCTGTTGACTTGTCTTTCCAGCCTCATTTCTTACTGCTCCCTGCCTCATACTTTGCCCTCCCCCTCCACAGCTTCTTAGGGTTCCCCACATCATGTAGTTTCTTGCCATCCTGCCTTTGCTCATGCTGTCTTTCTTGCCTAGACTACCCATCCCCCCACATCATCTGAGTTCTACCTTGTCTTTAAGTATCAGTTCCAGAGCTCCTTAGGAAGACTTTTTGTCTCATACTTCCACCTGCAGACTAGGTTAAGGAACGTGACCTCTGTGCTCTTGGTACATCGAAAGTGTACCTCTGTTAGTTATTAGTTACCACCACATTTCATAATAATGAGCTGTTTGTATTTGCCTTTAATGCACAGACTGAGGGCAGGGAATCCTATCTCCATTATCTCAGTAATCCAAAGTGCGTAGCACAAAGGACCCGGCAAATGATTATTGAACTGAGATACATAGTGTTTATTTGTAGTGTCTCTTATGCACAAGGGTAGCCATTATCTAGTTATTGGGCTGGAAAATGGTAGTCAAAATCTGGAAGGCATTTGATTAAGTCTCTCCTAATATCTTCACAAACCAGATGAAGAAGTCATGCTAGCTATAAAGATATTTGTATGGGTTAGCCACTGGGTGAATGTCTATGACATAAAAAGAATGCTTTAGCATAACTGCACATCACACTGAATTAAAGCTTTAGTAGCAGATGGGGCTCTCCCCAGGTGAACAAATCACTTGGGATGAAAAGACAGAAAATGTGCTGGTCAGATTTTCAGGTGACACAAATCTCGAAGCCTAGCAAATATTTTAGAAGACTGTCAGTTTCTAAAAAGATCTTGACAAGCCAAGTGATCCAAGAAAATGAAGTGAGAAATTAATATAACAAGGGTTGGCGTGGGGGTAACGCAGCTGCATAAGTGCACAGTGTGCTTGAGCCTAGTAGTAGGAAATATAACAGACTGAGGGATGCTTGCTAGCCCTAAGTTTAAGAGTCAGCATGATGCGGCTGCCCCCAGAAAATTTTTATTAACAGAGACACAGCATCTCATGTCACATAAGGTGGTAAGAGCCTCAATCACTCTACTGTGCTGGTTCCTTTCTCACCTGGGCTGTTTAGTCCTGGGCATAGTGCATTTGGAGGGAGATGGTTACACTAGAGGAGTATTCAAAGAAGAGTGACCAAGAAGGCTAAAATACTGTATAAGGGATTGATGCAGAACTGGGGATGCTAGTCAGCAGAAGAGGAGACACAGGCAAAGAAAGACAGGTGCTTTTAAACATCTGAAATACTGTCTAAGAGAAGCACTCAAGGTGTTTTTGAGTGGCTACAAGGAGTAGTATTTAGACCAGTGAGTGGTTAGATACTCTAAGGAGACCAGTTTCATCTATCACGAAGAGCTTCCCAGCAGCAACTGTTGTCCAAAGAATGAAATGGGTTACTTGGTGACAGTGACTTTCTCATTAAAATGTATAAGCAAAAATTGGCTCCCACTTGGTGGAGGTGCTCTCAGAGGATTTTCAAACATCACTTGGTAAACTCCGTGGGGCCTGCTAACTTGGGCAGCCCAAGATTTTTCTCCCCGTTTTTTTCCCCATAGGTACACATTTAAAATTTTTCACAATGCAAGTCAGTAAGAAAAGATTCCTTTTGCCAATGAATTTGTGAAACTAAATACATTAAATCTGTTTATATGCTTTCTGACTTGAATTACTTTTAACTGGAAATTATTTCTCTCAACAGATGGACGACCTCAGTGGGAGGTAGAAGGGAAAATAATCAGGGAAAAATGTCAAGGGGTAAGAAATTTACCTTATTTCTTTGGAAATATTTAAGAAGCTTAATGAGAAATTGGATAATGGTGCTTTATGGCATAGGTGAGTCTCTTACCTGTGAGTAATAGAAAAGTAAATAAGAATTTTTGGAAGTTTGGACATGAGGCGGATGCTTTCCTGATATTAAAGTTTAGGAAAGATAAACAATTGGTGTTGTTCTTCCCCTTTTTTGTTTAGGAAACGACAATTAGAAATGGAAGATTATGAGAAGCTTCCTACTGAAATTATTGATTTGCTTTTACTTATCTGAACTCAGTGAAGAAATCAGAGAAATTCAGTAAAGAACACATACATTGGACAGAAAAGAGGAGGAGGACAAGCCTCAGGGATTTGTGTATTTGACACACTATTTCTAACTCCTTAGTGTTAAGTCTTCCAGGATTCAACCCAGGTTGAAAGTTGTGGTCCCTTCATCCTGGTTGGAATGGAGATAGTCTTCTCTAGGGTAGAGCATAACACTTCCCATGGTGCTCTCCAGCGACCTGGGGAAATTGGCTTAAGGATTGAAATTAGTTTGGAGCTAAAGGTTTTCACTCTGCTTATGTAAAATTATTGTTTATATGGATACAGATTTTGTGTATTGCCAATTTAGAACATTTTGAATGTAAGATTTAAGAAATCTAAACTATGACACAACTTGGGAAATACTAAACTTGATTAAACAACCAGAACAGACTTCCAGTTAAGATACAGTATCGTGTAATATTCAGTAGAGTAAAGTATCTTACTGTATAGTAGATAAGACAGTTTTTATTTCTGCTACAACTAGAAACCCAGTTGGGTGAGTAAAAAGCAATTTCTCTTTTAATGGTTTACTTTAAGGAAGTTATCTCTGTTAAGACTGAAGTATCCATAGAGTAAATATCCAGATAACTTACATGACCAGTTGATGTGCATAATGATCTATGGTGGCAGAGCCTGGGTAAAGACTTATGAGTTGTGCTGAGTTTAGCAGGTGCATTTCATTTTTAGTTCTGAATGTAACACAATCTTGCTTTCCATTCTCCTTAGGCTCACATTGTTCTTGAAGTTCCTCCATATCATAACCCAGCAGTTACAGCTGTAGTGCAGGTGCACTTTTATCTTTGCAATGGCAAGAGGAAAAAAAGCCAGTCTCAACGTTTTACTTACACACCAGGTACAAGGCGTGGTGATGGTTTACTTTCATAATGAATACAAAGTTATTCAGTGAATCCTATATCTAAAGAGTGCTCATAATTAATAAAAATCCCAACGTGCCTAATCTGTAAAGTTTAAGTCACCTTTAAATATTAGATGTGATATCAGTTGTTATTTTGTAATCATTTACTAGGAAATAAGAAGATTGACTGTAGATTTGAAGTCTGTTTTTCAGGAGCTACCAAAAAATCACCAACGCTACAGGAAGGGCAGGTGTTTGTGAATATAGGTGAACTCCCCTCATGCCCTTAGCACTGCAAGAAGACAGTGCACCTGTTTTATAATGTCTTCATCTCAACCATTCCCAATCAGATGAAGAATGTCATTAGATTTTCATTTGGCAAGTAACCACTGTAGCGTACTATGGGCTTTGGAAGATGTAAAAGTGATGCTGGAGTTTCTAGCTTTATATGTACACCCGAACAAAGGAGGCTTCCAGACCTCTGTTTGCAGCAGTTCAAGTGCTGCTTTCCAGTTCTTGATTGTGACACATAAATATTATATGCAGTAATTTATGCTTATGTTTATATTCTTAACTTAGGGAACAAATATTTATGAGAACTTCTTTGTGCTAGGCTTTGTATTAGTCACCAGAGCACAAGTTAATAAAAAAAATCATATTGAACCTTAGTCTCCAATACTTACTCTTGTAAGAACTTTTAAAAGGTTTATAGTAAATGAAAAGAACAAACACTAGAATTTGAGAGGGTACTGGTTATCAATGGTCATTCATTTGTCATTCAGTTTATTTAAAACCTGGCTATATTTCATTTATAGTGTCTAAAGGCCACTAATATTTCAGATCATTTTCAAACAAACTACAAATCTTTTGAAAACTTGAAGATTTTGGGTAGCTGTTTGATTCCTTCATTACTTCAATAAGTATTTGAGGGCACTACGTGGGTCCCTTCTCTCCTGGAATTTATAATCTAATGTCTAGGGACAAGCAAGCTAATAAATCACTATTACTAACAAATTTGTGATTAGGAAGTAAGATAGGACTCTGAAGAAAGAGACAATGTTGTGGGTGAAAATAACAGAGGGACCCTTGCCTAGGCTAACTGGTTGAGAGAAAGCTTCCATGAAGAAGTGATACTTGAGTTGATAACTGGAAAATAATGGTAATAGTTTATAATTATGTAACATTTACTATTTTCTTAGTACTGTTTTAAACTCTTTCTATATTTATTCATTTAATCCTTGCAATAGACCTGTAAAATCGGCTTTTGTCTTGTTTTACAGATGAGGAAACTAAGTAGCTAAGTTATGTGCCCAAGGTCTCACGGCATTTAAGTCTTGGAGCCAAATGCCATGCATAGGCAGTCTGGTTCTAGAGTCTGGACCATGCCAGAGTACTGTTATGTTAGAGTATGTCTCAGATTTGTTTATTTAGCAAACATATGGAACATGTGGTGTGTGCCAGGTGCTATTCTAAGCAGTTTAGAAGGTAGGTACTATTGCCCTTCCCATTTTACAAAAGAGCGAACTGAGGTCACACAGCTAGTAAGTGACAGGTGAGATTTGAATCCAGGCAGTTGTCTATAGAATATATACTATTAATTACCATGTTAGATAAAGTGAGGGAAAACATTCCAGACAAAGGCAGCAGTATCTGCAAAGGCTTGTGACTTTAACAGGGAGCTTTAACAGGGAGGTGACAGATCAAATTTGTGTTTCAAGAACCATTTTCCCTACAGTTTTTAAAATATCAAATTGACATGTTGTACCCCTTAAATTTATATGATATGTCAATATATTCAATAAATTTTTTCAGTTAGAATCATTTTCCTCATACTTCTTCTGTTGTTTATAAGGTGTCAATGACCAATTTGTCTTCTCAAATGACTAAGTCTGGAGAATGATTTGTATGGGAGAGGCCCAAGAAGCTTGAAAAAGTGATTCAGATAGCTAGAGTATTTTGAATATACAGAGAAGAGAGCATCAGTGATGATAAAGAATATTTGGTTACTGAGAAAGGTGGAAAGGGATAGGATTTAAAGTAGTTGGGATAGGCCTTAGATGGGAGAGGGAACAGGAGGAACGGTGAAGATGAACAAGAGGGATATATATTAGGAAAGTTTGTAGATTTGGTAGAGAGTTCAGGGTATTTCCATATAATTAGATAGTGTCAATTTTTTTTTTTCTGTAAAGAATGACATGAATGAAGTCTCCTATGTGAGCAGAGGTGAGTGTGGGTGATTTGGCATCCACAATTGGAGAGTGTAAAAAAGTTTGAAATAGTTTTGTAAAGAGGGGAAAGAGTAAATTACCACAGAAACCTAGTAGAATTCTAGGCATGACTGAGGGCACCTTTGATGTTGAAGTTCTTGAATTTATAGATACTAACTAGCCCTGCTGTATAATTTTCTTAAGCAGCACTCAAGATTCTTCAAGGCAAGTGTTATAATATGGCTAGTGAGGCTCCTCCAGGGTGAGATTTGCTAAAAACATACAGTCTGAGAGTGTTATCAACAGCTGTTGAGATGGGGGGCTGTAGCATATAATCTGAATAAGGAGGGAGAAGAGGGCTTCTGGGATTGGAGAAAAAAAGAAAGCAGTAGGACCAGCAGATTAGAAGTTTTTATTACTACCATCAGAGTAGTTGGTAGTAAATGAAGAAGCAAACAGAAAGGAGAAAATACAATGCCTTCATATTATCAGCTTGCAAATTGGGAGGACAACCTAAAGTCAGAATCCTAGAGAGTATTACATATGAGAATGGAAACCAGTGGGGCCCAGAGTGCAGAGAGTATATTGAATTGGACTACAGCTGTCTTCACTGGCCTTATGGTTGACAGAATACAAATTAGGTGGCTCACACTAATAGAAGGAAGAATGAACATACAGAAGTGTTTGGACAGTCCTTGTTCTGGTTGATTACTGTCTTTTCTGTGTAGCATTTGGCTTTTCATATTTTTCTAAAATGAAATTTTGAATAAAAATATTACAAAAACATACACATTACTGTGAATTTTTGTTTTTAAAAATATTTGTGAAGTATTTTAAAACACCCAAATCCTCTTTTACTCTGAAACTGTCATTCTATCCTTCTAGATCTTTCTGACTCAGATATAGATATAACTTTTAAAAAATAGAAATGGGACCAAACTGTATATACTAATTTTGTAACTTGAACATTTTTATTTTTCCTCATCAGTTGGTACGGTTTTACAGAATTTTAATAGCTTCTTAGTATTCTTCTCTATGACCCAGTCTTTATATTAGAGTTATTTTGTTTGTCTTATTAATTTATCTGAATTTAGCCTTTTGTGTATGTTTGTGGCAAATAATTCCTTTTTAAATTTTAGTTATAAAAGTTTTAGATATTCGTGAGTTGCTTATTTTTTATTAAAGGATCTGTAAATTTACCTTTTTGGCAAACCCCTGGCAATAAGGATCTGACCAATATCAATATCCAGTGAAGGAATAATCATTAATTACAAATGGCTGATTCTTTTAAATTTTGAGTTTTTTTTAGAAATTGTATATAGCATTATTTGTCCACAGTCAGTACACTTTATAAAATGAAGACAGTTTCTAGCATCTGTGTATGATTCACAAATTACCCTAGCCACAGATGGTAATAAAGCACACAGCCTTTCCCTAGCGGTGCTCCTAAACTTCTGCCAAGCCTCTAGCTTCAGAACTTTAGACGTGGGAGCCCCCACCCCCACTCAAGCATCCTGAAGCTGTCAAAAGAATGTACCTGAGGCCCACCAGAAGTTATTTGTCCTGAAAGTACCACCTGATCTCTGGTTTTAGAATAATGGGGCTTTTAGCGACAGTGTTAGAGACAAACTCTCATGTGTAGTATTTTGCCTGTGGGAAGGTAAATTATGTGATTTAAGTAGTTGATTGGATAGAATTACTTTTGGATTGTGGTTGGGGGAGAAACTGGTCTTATAGTCAGGAGTTCAGCTCTCAGCTCTGCCAAGACAGTACCCACTGATTAACCTCTGTAAAGTGAGGATATATATAGCAATTGTTTTTAAATTGTGTTTTCTTCCATAAAATGTTATGCAAAAAATAAATAAAAAAGGATGAAAATTAGCTTTAGGTGCTCAGTTTATACTGGTAGAGTAAGTACAGAGAGCTGTAGCTATTTCTATAATTCATCTCATTCTAGATATCATAAGGTCTCTTTAATGATATTTCTCTCCAAACAAGAATAAATTACCATAGACCAGCAGTGAGAGCTTCCTGTGGTTTGGTCAGGTTGGGTTCTAAATGCCTTATAGCCAAAAAGAGTGGTGTTTGATTTGGCAGAATGGAAAATACACTCAGTTTCGCAAAGCAGAACTCTCAATCTGGGTACCCAGATGTGGGTCAGGAACATAGAAGTAAAGATTGGATAATGCAAAAGAGATGGATGTTATGCTGTGATTTTCCATCTCTTTTTAGGGCTGTGATAACCAGCCACTTACCTAACCAAGCAGAGCCCCACCTGCTCCACTCAGGATTAATTAAGGGATGAGAGTATGCCTTCTTGGATATTCTCCCTTACTTTGAAATGTGGAGATAGGATTCACTGTAGGAACTGAGGTAGAAGATGAAAAAAAGCATCCAGTGGTCCAGGGGGAAATGTCTAGTTCTGCCAAAGTCAGAAGAAAAGTAAGTACATTAGGACATTAGGTTAGGATCCAGTAGATGCAGTGAACCATACTTGAAATACCTAAGCAAGAATCAGCAACTGGATGGAGGCTGGCTCAGGTATATGAGCACTGGTAGCAGAAGCAATGAGAAAATTGGTGATACACCTTTCTTTCTGTCCTTGGGTTGTTGCCTCACTGTTATGGATAGGCTAACCACTTGCCAGATTTAGAGGATAAAGCAGATAAATAAATAATGAGCTCATACTGTTCTTGCTAGGAAGCCAGAGTAAAGTGTACAACTCAAATGCATCCCCAAACCAGTGCTTTATTTATCTCCTCTTGTACAATAAAATACACTAGTAGGGCTATCTTAATTTTTACCTGATTTTCCTCAGTTTGATAACACGCTTATGTGAAGAGACTTGTATTTAGCAAGCGTTTAGTAAATGGTCAAATGCAATTTGACCTTGCTTTGCATCTCACTGTTAATTTCTTTGACATAAAGTGAAGTGCTTATATTTTGAGAAGATCATGAAATTTTTAATAATGTTAATTAGTAGTACAAATTTGGGAGGAACAGTGAGATGTGAATTCTGGAAAATTACTTTTAAATGAGTTGTAGCACTTCAATGAGAAGCTAAAATAGATAATTTTTAGAAAAGTGGACTGAAAGGCCTGCCAAGAGAAACAATAAAGACAACTGTTTGAATACACAATAAATTAACTGATGGTTCTTTTTTTGTTTTGATATACATATTAAATAAAATAAGCAAAAGGCACTGATTCCTACTTTGAGCAGTCCTTTCATCAGGTAGACTCATCCTAAATCATGGATCTGCTACCTTATTTTTTAATGGTTGGTATTCATAGTGTCTGCTTGCTTGTTGGAATGGTGAAGTGGAATCATCCTTGGTAATACAGTATACTGCAGTGATTAAAAGCATGAACTTTAGTGGTAGAAAAACCTGGGCTCAAGTCCTTGTGATGCCACTTAACTGCTATGAGAGCCTAGTGTCTTTAATCTCCTCTTCAATATACTCATCCATAAGGCAGGGATAATAATAATCCCTATGCCATGGTGTAAGTTAGGACTTGCAGTTAAAAGACAAAAACCCAATTCAAACTTGCTTAACAAAAAAGGACATGTAACTGGGAGAGTGACTGTAATGTTGGCTTCAGCATGCTTCGGCTCAAGCAGTGTTGCCACAGGGCTTTGAATTGTCCTTCATATAAACACTGCTTTTCTTTCTGTTGTCTTTTCTTTTAGACAGACTTTTACCACATGGCATCTCTAGGTTTCTTTCATCTTCATAATTAGCAATCCTATAGAAAAGAACCAGAAAACACACACACACACACACACACACACACATTTCTGGTTCAGTCTTGTTGAGTTCTTTATGTGATCTGGGTATTTGATTCTCCAAAGTTACTAATTTTGATGAAGTCTAATTTATGCCTTTTGTTGTTGTTGCTGTGCTTTGGATGTCATACTTAAAAACCCACTGCCAGTACAATGTCATGAAGCTTTTGCCCGTTGTTTATTTATTTCTTCTAAGTTTAACTTATGTTTAGGTCTTTGATCCACTTGAGTTAATTTTCATGTATGATGTCAGGTAAGATTTCATCTTCATTATTCTGAAGGTGATAATCCAGTGTGTTTTGTCCCAGCACCATTTGTTGAAGATACTGTTCTTTTCCCATTAAAAGGTCTTGGCACCCTTGTTTAAAGAGCAGTTGACTATATATTTGAGGGTTTGTTTCTAGGCTCTCTATTTCTATTCCATTGGTCTATATTTCTATCCTTATGTCAGAACCACAGTGTTTTCATTACTGCAGTTTTGTAGTAAATTTTGAAATTAGGAAGTGTGAATCTTCTATCTTTGTTCTATTTTCCAGATTATTTTGGCTATTTGAAGTCCCCTGAGATTCTATATGAATTTTAGGATGAGTTTTTATATTTTTACAAGAAGCATTGTTGGGATTTTAATAAGGATTTCACTGAATCTGAAAATTGTTTTGGGAAGTACTATATTCTTAAGAATCAAGTCTTCCAATCCATGAAACTGGGATGTCTTTCCATGTATATAGGTCTTTAATTTCTTTAGCAGTTTTATAGTTTTTAGTGTATAATGCCTTCCTTGGTTAAATTTATTCCTAAATTATTTTGATGCTATTGTAAATGGAATTGTTTTCTTGATTTCCTTTTCAGATTGTTTATTGCTAGTTTATAGAAATAGAACTGATTTTTGCATGTTGATTTTATATCTTGTAACTTTTGTTGAATTTATTAGTTCTGATAAGTTTTTTCTGGATTCCAGTATTGCTTTTAACCCCCCATTATTCCTTTTGTAATATGGAACTGATGATGGTTGAGGATCAGATGAGATACATGTGAAAACCACTGTAAACTAAAAGCTCTATGAATATCAGGTTCATGAATTCGAGTACATGAGATAACATGAAAACCTGGGTGCTGGTAGATTTCAGATCAGAGATATCAAATTGAAAGCTTTTTTATTAGGCATAGAGTTTTTGGCAATTTAAAAAATTATTTATTTAAAAATAGGTAATACATAAATACATGGTAAAAAAAAATATTTAAAAGGCACAGAAACTTACATAGTAAAAAGTAAATCTCCTATCTCCCAGTCACCTAACTTTCCTTCCCAGCAGTAAACCCAGCAGCTTTCAGTTTCATATGTGTCCTTCCAGAGATAGCCATGCATATATAAGCAAAAACATATATATGTATATATGCATATATATGTACACACACACAATATTTTACATGAATTGTGACTTAGACACATTGTTCTGCAACACACTTTTTTTTAGTCACTTAGCAACATGTCTTAGAGATCTTGCCACATCACTTCATAAAGGTTCATGCAGTATTGTTGCTGTTTGTTAACTTGAATACTTTTAGAGCAATATCATTCCTTGTTGTCTTATGCTTGCTGACCTCACGTATTTTATGTTATCTGCCTTCCTTGAAGGCATTTGAGTTTTCAAACCCTGACTGAGATGCATGCTATAGTTGTGTAGCCTAAAATGAAGGCCTTTTGTGGGTATTTTATGTATTATGTAATTAACATGTGCTTTAACCATTTTCTTTTTAGTTCTGATGAAGCAAGAACACAGAGAGGAGATTGACTTGTCTTCAGTTCCATCATTGTCTGTGCCTCATCCTGCCCAAACCCAGAGGCCTTCCTCAGATACAGGACACCCATGTGACAGTGTACTGTCAGCACAGAGAAGCTTGGTTTGTCCCATCCAGCAAACATACGCATCCATGGTAACCTCATCCCATCTGCCACAGTTGCAGTGTAGGGATGAGAGTGCTGGTAAAGAACAGCATATGATGCCTTCTTCAGTTGTTCACCAGCCTTTTCAAGTCACACCAACACCTACTGCGGGGTCTTCCTATCAGCCTATGCAAACTAATCTGTACAATGGACCAACTTGTCTTCCTATTAATGCTGCCTCTAGTCAAGAATTTGATACAGTTTTGTTTCAGCAGGATGCAGCACTTCCTAGCTTAATAAATATTAGCTGTCAACCACCATCCATACCTTTTCATTCTTCAAATTCAGGCTCAACAGGACATCTCTTAGCCCACATACCTCATTCAGTGCAGACTCTGCCTCATCTGCAGTCAATGGGGTACCACTGTTCAAACACAGGACAAAGATCTCTTTCTTCTCCAGTGGCTGACCCAGTCACAGGTCAGCCTTCTTCTCAGTTACAACCCATTACATATGGTCCTTCACATTCAGGGTCTGCTACAACAGTTTCCCCAGCAGCCTCTCATCCCTTGGCCAGTTCACCACTTTCTGGGCCACCGTCTCCTCAGCTCCAGCCAATGCCTTACCAATCTCCTAGCTCAGGAACTGCCTCATCACCATCTCTAGCCACCAGAATGCATTCTGGACAGCACTCTACCCAAGCACAAAGTACAGGCCAGGGAGGTCTTTCAGCAACTTCATCATTAATATGTCACAGTCTGTGTGATCCAACTTCATTTCCACCTGAAGAGACAACTGTGAACATTAAACCTGAACCTGAAGAGCAGGAACCTAACTTTTCAACAATTGGTCTACAGGACATCACTTTAGATGATGGTAAGTTCATCTTTGTGTTCTTGAAGCAGTGAAGATTACCATGGATGGCTTATTGGCTAATGGTTGAGCTTTTTGATAAGGTGTTGTTACTAGAAATATGTTAATATATGACTTTGAGAAAAGACATTAAAATCTATGCTTTACAGTGTATTTTACTACTAGTATCAGTTGCAAAGGGTGGGACTTTGAGTGATAACCTGCCACCTGTTTGTGATGAATCTGAACACAGGAGATTTACTGGTCATTCTCTTTTCCAGAGCATATAGTGGGGTCACAGTGTCTAAAGAGTGGAATTCAGGGGCATTAATTCAGTAAATATTGCTGAATGCTATCCATTTGCAAGATATAGAGCTAGATACTGGGAATACTAAGAATTATTAAGATAGAGTTCCTGTTCTTAAGGACACTCACACAAGTAAAGAACCTGTTCCTCTGTGACCCTGCCAGCTGCTGAGTCAGATAATGGTCATGGTGCAAGAACAGACTTGGTTTGCTGCTGCTGGTACAGCTGTTGGTACCAGGATTTAAAAAAAAGCTATTTATATAAATGTAGCAAGTTGGTATGTAGAATTTCTGTTTTTATGAAATCAATAAATTACAGAACATACTCTGGGATTTTAGCTATTTCAATAATTGAAAATCACCCAAGATAAGATTTTCAGGAAATAATTTTAGAGTTTATCCTTAGCTTTATCATTTATGGGGTAGGGATTTTTATTTAAATAGGAATTCAGTGAAAGCTACCTGTAATTCTTGTCCAAAATGAAAATTTGAAAGATTCTGAAATATGGATATATAGAATTTTAGATCCCTCTCTGACACTGTATTAATCTGTAGAAAAGTATTTCTAGGTCAGCAATCTCCTTCATGCATCTAGAGAGGCTGAATTTCCTACGTAGTTGTAAAGGAGATCAAGCAGAGGGATGTGAAATATTCTGTAAGAAGGGTTCAGTAGAGCTGTGATAAGATGACATTTGAAGCCAGACTTGGAGGACACGTATATTTTCAGTAAATGGGGATCAGAGGGCAAATCAAACAACAGAAGCAGAAACATAGAGCTTTGTCTGGGAAAACATGAATCTGTGGTTGGAGGACAAATGGCATACATAGTAAAGGATGGCTTTCAGAACTAGAAGGTGATGTGCCAGGTCATTTGTGTATAAACCGAAGGTATAGTGTAAACTGAAACAATGCCTACAATTTTCATAGCATTTTCCCATTTGTTATTTAATGTTATCCTTACTAATCCTCTGTCTCTGAGGGTAGGTAGTGATGTTTAGAGAATTGGGCTTTCTGAAAGTCACACAACTGACAAGTATATCAATCACATCTAAGTCCACTCTTTTTCAGTCTCTTTTTAATCTGGTCTTTTTCTTGCAGCACTAAGCTGTCTCCCAACAATAGCACTCTGTGCTAGAGGAGATCCCCTAAGCTTTTTTTAATTCCTAGAGAATTGTAGAACAATCTTCAGGAATGCATATGCAGAATTTCACTGCATGAACACATGTTCACAACTGTGTCTGATATGTCACACTTGTGTTGGGAGTACTTGAGGGCTCTGGTATTAAGTGTCTTGCTGTTCTTTTTATGCCCAGCAGGCCTAGGTGTCACTGCTTACTTAATAATGATGAACACCAGGTAGAGAGGAAGCTACGAATTTGATGCAGAACAGATAAGAAGTGAATAAAGGATTTTCCAAATACATGTAGGCTTTTTAAATTACCTATTCATTCTCTTGGCAGTTTTAACTAATTGACTATTCATACTGCTTTTAAGGTTTATATTTAGAATTTTAAGCCCTAAAACAATAACTGAGACCATGAGTGATAACCTAATGCCCATTTGTGATGGAACTGAAGACATGAGATTTATTGAGCAGATCTCAAAGGGTATTCCAGCTCATTTTCTTCCCAAATGAAGATATTTCCTCTTCTAGAGTGAGACCAAAGCTGGAACCTGCTCTTTGTAATTTACTACAGATTGAATGATTTGGGTGTGGGGCTGGGAGTGGAGGGCAACAAATTGGAACGTCTAGGAAAGTTTAGTGAAAATTTTCCTTTTGAAAATGTGAAGATGTTTTGCAAAAATGGAGAATCTAGAAAGACGATTTCTATGAGGGCAAGTATCAAAGCAGTTGCATTTTTGTTCCCTTCATTGTGTAGGGCACATGATCAAGAAAAGTTCCTAGATGTAGCCCCACAGAGGACACAGACTGGCTCTTGAACTCCCTCATTGCCACCTATCAGGTGATTTGATAGAAGCTCAGTGATGCTAGCAGTAATTAAAGAGAGAGAACATCCTTCACACTCCTGGGCATCTCAGATCATTAGATGTGCAATTTTTGCGAAATTGCATTTTTGATGCTTGCTTTGAACTCTGAAGTGAATTTTTCTGTTGGCCAAAAATTTTTTTTGACTCATTGATTATTTTATTTGGACTTGCCTCTGAAGATAAAATTCTAAGTGCTTAGAATGACTACACTTCTGCAAGCTTTTAATATAAATTTATTCAAAAACCACAACAACATAGCTCACAAGCCTTGAAATGCCTAGCATTTAAACATCCCCTTTTTGGTTATCTTCAAAAGTAAGCCACAAACATGCCAAAAACAGATTAGAGGCACTCATAGTGAACTTTGCAATTAGACTGAGTGCAGGTTTTATTTTAACTTTTCTATATTGTGTTAAGTATTAAGTACACAGTAATTTCTACTGTACATAATCAGAAGACACAGTAATTTTTTAAATGTTTGCTGTGTTAAATATACTTAACTAATCCTAAAAAGTTTTGTTAATCCTATTTCTGTTTTATATTTATCCCCCTCTATTTTTCTTACCAAATTAAAGATAAAACACAAACGAAATACCCCTTTTATTTTTGAAGTTTTAAAGTAAAATGGACTCTGTCAGGAATCATTCAAGCATTACTTGACCGTTCACTTTTAGAAATGGGAATATTAATACCTTAATCTTGTATTATGGATTCAGTACATTTAATAGTGTACCTCAGCTCAGCAATTCAAGACTTATTACAGATCTGGAAATACTCTAATACAACTTCCTCATTTTATAGCTAAAGAATCTTTAGTGTTACAGAGCCTGAGATATTCATCTAGGGTAACACAGTAGTTAATAGAGTGAAGACTAAAACCCAGGTCTCCTGACTCCTAATTCAGTACTCTAGAAGTGTCCAATAGCTGTACCATGTTTCTCATCAGTCTTTGGGTTGAGACTCTGGAATGTAGAGCAAGCAGAATAGATGAAGAAAATGTCATTTTCTCTGTAGGGCCTTGGTTTGAGAGGAGTCAGGGCAATCCTAAGATTATAGATTCTCAATATAGGTGAAGGCTCTCGACTCCATCCTCCTCCATGCTCCTTTTTCACCCTGGAGTTCATACTTTATTACCTCTAGTGATGTTATATTCCTGTGTGTCTCCTCCTCTCCAGCTTCTTTGGAACATCTCAGGGCCTTTTGAGTTTCAACTACCCTTGTTTTATGTGGGCTCTAATGCCCCTGAAATCATGCAGAACAAACCCAGTCCTTCTTCTGTAATAACCCTTCTGTAATGATCTCTTTCCCAGTCTTAAGAACACTGAAACACTCCAGCAACTTTGCCCTTCCCTCACTTTCACCAGCATGGTAATTCCCCTCAGCCTGTTTCCAGTTGGTATTTTAGTTCCTTTTCATGTGCACTCTAGCCAGCTCAGAGTGGATTGGGACTGTCACCTTCCTTGTTCAGAAGACTCTGTTTTATCAGTGTGGCCTCAGATAAGGGATTTTCTTAGCTCAGTCTTGCTGTTGAGTTAAGTGAGGCAGTCGTAAGTACTATAAATCACATCCTTTCTGCTCCCTGCGTTTCCCATAGGTTTTGGTATATGTTATTTTTGGACACAGGTCTCAACTTTGCAGTCATCTTTGTTCAGTTTCATTGAGGTAATTTCGGCCCCTCATACCAACCATCTGAGCTCAGTAGAGTCCCAGAAGTGTTTCTCTGTTTCAGAGTAGTGGGGCTCCCTCCTCACAGGGTATTCCTTGGGGTAATAACAGTAGCTGAATACTAACCTTTACCAACAGATGTTCTCTTTCAAGCAGTCCCCATTGGAAAGCTGTGATATATGCTTAACCAATTAATTCAAAATTACTTCTGCTACTTGCTTTTTCTTTGATATCTACATGTACCCTTTCCCCTACTTGAAAAAGTGGTTCTACATCTATAAAATTATCAGAGTTTTTACTCATATTATAATTTGTATGCCTACAGCTATAATTTTTCCCAAACATCTCTTTGCATTATCGTGAATATGTCCCAGTTTTGGACCAAGTGATATACATTAAAACAGTACAGAAATACAGAAATTGTCATAGTTGTGTTTTAAGCATTTTAATTAAGATTATAGTATTGTTAAACTAGATTGTCTTAGATCTTTAAATACCGGCCCATTTGTGACTGAGCTGATTCCAGTTACACTTCCCATTAGAGTCCCTCACTTCCCTCTTGTTGTTCTTTGTTCACAAACTAACAGCTGCAGCCGCAGCTCTTCAGCAGAGAAGAGGGTACATGTTAAATATAGCCTGACCTGCTGCTGTGGTGAAAACTGACACTGCCATTTGCAGGCTCTGTGCAGTAACATGCTGATCCGAATGTAGGGCAATTGCTAATTTGACTGTAAACAGGGACCCTAGACATGACCTCAGCTGCTGCAGTTCTGTTATATAGGTGGCAAGCAAAAGAGCCTGCTTTCATGTAGCCAGGGAATGATAAACACAAGATTCAGATGGCTGTCTTGGAGCGGGAAGCAGGAAGCTGGTTTGGAAGAGCAGAGAGGTAAATACTATTGTCAGTGTTCTATTCCACCTGTTCAATACTCACTGCACTGGTGTTTACTGTATTTAAATAAAACAAAAGAAAGCCATGCCACTGGTGAGAGTGGGTCACAAATGAGGTGTTTATTCACTTAGAGGCAATAGGGTGAAAGGAGGTATATAATACTGAACTTTCT